GTTACACTACTATTACATTTTAAATAGGGTAACTTGTAATCTGTAACCTATTACATTTCCAAAGTAACCTTCCCAACACTGAAGATCACTGGTGTTTAATGGAACAACTCTAGAATCTTCTTTAGGTAACTACAGGTGGGCAAACAACAGAATGAAACAGGATTTCTACTCACTTTGCTTTGTCAGGCTCTGCAGACATTTTTTCACAAGTCCTGGAGGGAAATTAAAGATGGACTTTAAGTTAGAGACTGCATGCACTAGAGGTGCACCAAAATGGCAAAAAATTTAAATAAATAAATACTATTATTATTATTATTATTATTATTAACAACAACAACAGCATTAATAATAGCTATTATTATTATTAATAATAATAGCTTTAAATAATAATACTTAATAGCTAAAAAATACAAATTTGAAAATATTACTAACTAAAATATTTAATCAGTTATTAATAATAATAAAAGCATAAAAGCGTAAGCAGACTAAAAACCATCGCCAAAAATGTTTATTCAATAAAATAATCTTTGACATGGAAGAAATTAAACTGAAGGCTGAATAAATAAATGCACTTTTAAAAAATTAACAACAATAATAATACATAAATAAAAACATTTATTTATTCAAGATATACCTAGATTATCAATTTAAACCTAGATATACCTAGATTATCAATTTAAATTTTAAATTGTGGTGCATCACTAGCACATACTGTACATTATAACCACACAACCAAAAAAACCAACATAAATGCACTGAAAGCCACATATAATGTCAAACAAGAGTTCATCGACTGTTCTAGACACATAAGCGTGAAAACTTTATTTTTGATGCAGTGAGTAGGCTGCCACAAATAACCACAGAGCCTGCTGGCACAATGCACTCCAAACACAAAAACAAAGCACTACTCTGCAGCTTGACCACAGACTTCAATCAGACCACATAACTACACTTTCTGTTCACGCTGTTTTTCAGTAACTGCAGAAGAACAGACTGTACATTCTTAATCAAATGCAAATAACCCACAAAGCGGATCTATCTTATACTGAGACAGCTGCTGCCACCTTCAGGTTTATAAATGACATGTAGAAACATTTCAAGGTTTTAACCATTCAAATAGACTAAGAAATGAATCATCAAGTTATAATGCAGATCATGCAATACAGAAGCTTAAGCAATTATTGTAGGCAAAATAGAAAACCGTTTTAAAACAGTAATACACAACAGGTTTCATCACCCAAGGAGTGAAGTGAGATGAGTCACGCATTCTTTAAATGAGATGCAATGCAAGCATTATCTAAATCAAGTGACTTGCTGAGGGAAGGGCGAGCACACCCTGAGACATGCCCAAACATCACCCGATTAGTAACTGTTTAGTCCTTTACTGTAATGAGCCTGTAAACCTAGGCTGTAACCATGTCTTGAACACTGGGGGGGACCAAGTGTTTTTATAAAGCATAAAGAAACAGAATAGTGACGGAAATTTGAGGCCTAATTCTAGTTGGTAGGTAGCCTAATCATTTTGAGCTATTTGCAAATAATATTTTAAACACATGCACTTTTATTTATATGCCTAATATGTCAAAAACGCAAAGTGTTTCATGTCTCGACATTGCAATGCATGCTTATAATAAACAGAACATTATCATTATCATGGACGCAAACATAATTATTGTTATACTTCTCATTTGTGGTGTTAATGGGCCTTAAGCCATTGTATTTAAATGTTTGAACACATACAAAACTTGCTATAGTCAACATGTCCTTACTATAGTCAATTAAATCCACAATTCAAAGACAGCCAAAAAATATCTGAAATGAAATAAAGAATTATTTTACTCAATATACATTATCATTCAAAGGTTTGGGGTGAGTAAGTTTTTTGAAAGAAAATGAATACTTTTTTCAGCAAAGATTAACATGAAATTGATCAAAGATTCTGTTCTTTTGCACGTATTTATCAAAGAATCCTGAAAAAAATTTACCATGGTTTCAAAAATATTAAGCAGCACAACTGATAATAAGAAATGTTTCTTGAGCACCAAATCAGCATATTAGAACGATTTCTGAATGATCATGTGACACTGATAATTCAGCTTTGCCAAAGAAAAAAATATTACATTTTAAAGTATATTAAAACTGAAAACAGCTATTTTAAAACCTAAAAATATTTCAAAATATTACTGTTTATTCATTTTTTTCATTTATTGACAGTTGTCAGTAGATCTTGAATGCTGATTAAATCAACAAAATGCCAAAACATTGCTAAATTAATCCTATTTTCATTATAAAACATCACTACTACAAATTTAAAGCAAAACTGTACAAAACCACTTACTTCACAAATCTTTGGTAGAGAGCCAGTGTCACATCGTATTTGTTCTCCAGTCGTTTCAAAGCAGTGTTCACTTTAGGGCTTATTGTGTCCACGTTTACATCCATCTTCCTCACAAGACTGATGAACTGCTTCACACTGCAGAGGAAGAGCAACTTAATTAAAGTGTAGTATACGCATTATTAACACCTTAAAGATATAACCACACTCCGACAGCTCAAACTGCTCACCACAAGCGAGAAAACCAGGATTTCTCTATGATATTTATTAATTTGCCACACATACCTTAGTCCAACTACTTTCAGGAACTGTGTGAAGGTGAGGCTGAGGCCATCAAGCTCCATGCCTGCAATAAACAGACAAGCTCCCCACTGCTGTCTGTTTGAATATGGCATCTAGCATGGAGGACACACGTTTGTGTTATCACATATTCATAAATGAACGCATTAGATTGGTAGTGCAGACATAAGAGGAAGGCGTACATTTGCCTTGTCCATCGACCTGATCTCCCTCTCCCAAATTCTCCACGCATGATCACAGATGGGATTGGTGGCCTGAAGCTCCTCACTGAGAGACACAAACTCAGGCTCCTTGTCCTTGTGTCTGGTAAAACAACACAGTTGACAGACATGAGTAAATACATTGTGAGGTGACTGACACTATTGTGGGGTGGTCGCCATTCTGGAGCTGCTGGTCATGCAACATTACTTATACACATAACAAACATTTGTCAGCTGTTTGGGAACTACGGGAGCAGTATATAAGATCATTTTTATTATTTAGGCTATATATTTTAATAAGATAAGGTCAGAATAAGTATGTCGTTTTATTTTTACACAAATATATAGGCTATCTATTACACTGAATGATAATGGAACATATTTTGACATTTTATTTTCACAAAGGATATCTGAAACATTAAAGTTGACACTTTACTTGCATTTAATATGTATATAAAATCACTTCTGTAAATTTAATTTGATGCAGGCACCAAAATGGAATGTATATAATAGATGTACACATAAATGCTGAATGAAATATTTTATAAAAACTATTTGCTATCAAAAATAGAAACATGAACACGTTTAGAAACTGTCATTTATAACTGTTTATAGCTCTTATTCATTCATACAGTTGATCGCTGGCTTCTTCTCCCACCATCATCAATAACTAAAGACTGTCAGTACTAATCATTCATTAGTGTGTTGTGTCGTTGAGGTTTATTTTCGAGGCAGTGGCGCGGTGTAAGCTCACCGTTCGGGGCTCAGCACTGCGTTCTCGCCGCTGTCCGGAGATCCGCTCTTCATGTTCCCCTTGAGCTCTTTCTTCTGCGGGGTCCCGCTGCTGCGCTTCTTCGGCGGCATGTCGACAGTGTCGCGATGAAGAGCGCGTTCACTCACAGCACAGCGAGCGATCACAAGCGGCGGGCTGGTGCTGGTGTTGATGTTGCTGTTGTGGTTAGTGGTTGGATGTCGGAGCCTGAGATCGCTTGTTTGTGTCCGCAACTCTCCACTATTTCCTCAACTACCCAAAACGCGGGAAAATTGATCGACGTAACATCCGCTACTATAGCGTCACGTCCGGTTTTTGCGCGTAGTCAACAGCAACTTTTTAATGTTACGGTGATTTTAAAACTTTTTTTTTCTGTATGAAAAATGTATTCAGATTAGTGGATGGTAAAAACATATATAGTTTAAAATGCAAGTGAAACATACACGTGAACTGTTTCAAAGACTTTCTACTCTATTCTAAACTCGCCAGACGGCATTGTAAGTTAGGTCTAACGTTACTTTTAAAATGAAAATCGCTATACATTTATAACCATTTGGATTAATATTGTTATCAGAACACTTAATATGCGCCTCACATGTGAAGGAAACATGTTTAAATGTTCATGACAAGAGACAATAAAACACGTTTTTGACATTTACAACAAATTATTTCTAATATTATACAATACTATCTATCTAAAATAAAAGTGGAGAAGAACGTCAGAACATAAGACGATAACACTTTCTTTATGTAATATTCTATTCACATTAAGTGATTATCCCTTATAGAAATGTACTGAAATGTAAATAAGTTGATATTTTGCATGACATGGTAGACCAGTAAGATTACGCAAGTAAACTTTACAGAAATATAACAATGTGCAACATGTCATATTTGAATGTCTGTTTTTTTATACCCTCATGTTTTTTTTTTTGTCATTTTAAATATTGATATAATATTGGTCATATTTTTTCCCTCATGAAAATCTCCCAGTTTGTCCTAATTGCACTGACTGCATGTCGAATCAGCTTGAATAAGCCATTTTTTCCCTACAAGATACAAATATGTATATCCATTCTAGTGTTTTATTCCATTTGGGAACCTTTCTTTTGTTTCTCCATAGGTTTATTTATAACAGCAGTTCACCCCATGAATTGTGCGTTATTCATTAAAGAATGACTTGAAAATATAACCACCATTTAAAAAGAAACACCAAAATGCTATAAACAGGAGCAAAGGCACTAACGTGCTTTGTCTGGAGTGAGAGATGTAACAAATAAAATTGCCTATATCAAAACTCTGCCCACATACCAAGACGCTGTGAAGCATCCTCACACAGTCTCAGTGGAACAACCATCATGAATACGCCACATATTTAACTCAGGGAGTGACAGACCAAATGTATGACTACTATGCAGCAATACAGAAAATAAACCTATGCACTGAATAATGTATCATAAATAAATTTCAATTGTAGTCAGACAATATTTGGCACACACATCTCCAGATCTTTTCTTCTTTTTCTTGTACATTAAGGATACTCATATTGTGCCTATAAATGTGTCATTGATACATGGAAACAAGTCAAAGCTTGCAGGTACAGACCATGAGACTTGGCCATGGACACAGACATTATTCTTTGATCTAATGGCAAGCACAGACTTACGGTGCTTGTAACAATATCCTGAAGGAAGATGAAAACCCTTGCATTATCCAGCATTATCCTCTGAAACTACAGAAAATTACCTTAACAATGACTTACGACTTTGGGTTGAGAGGTTACTTCAGGCTTTAGGAAGCAATGTTGAAAATACAGTATATGAAAGGGAGTATGTGAGTGATAAGGAAAATAAAAAAGAGGGAGAGAACCACCTGTTATAATTCCCAGGGCAAGCATATAACCAATGAGAGAGACCTCTCCAAATCTTAAAGTCCACTGTTTTTTTTTGGGCCAGGAGCCTTTAAACGTCCTGCTCACAGGAGCATGGTGAACGGTTTCTCCAGGAACTTGCGGAACTCGGCCAGCCACTGTGCGCCAACAGCACCATCTACCACCCGGTGATCACAGCTCAGAGTCACAGACATCATGCTTGCCACATCAAACCTACGAGACACACAGAAAACACGCACTGACTGGAGGAACTGTTTTAAAAGCGCCATGATTATAAGTAGGGCTGATGGCAAATGAACGTCTCTCTATTTCCTTTGCTCACCCTTTTTCGTTGTCTGCAGGCAGCAGTCTCTTTTCTGAGCCACCCACAGCCAGAATGCAGGCTTGAGGAGGGTTAATGATAGCTGAAAAATGCTTGATGCCATACATGCCCAGATTGGAAATAGTGAAGGTGCCACCCTAGGAAAACCAAGAATGTTTGCTTTGAAAAAAACAAGTAATGCATTTTTATATACACAATTCATTTTATATTATTATAGCTATATGCACATATACAGTTTATTACATTAGTTTGTGGTCAGAAAGACTTAAAAAAATAAAATAAAATCAACAAATTTATTCAGCAAAGCAGCACAAAATTTGATATGAAGATTCTTGAGAACTAAATCAGCATATTAGAATGATTTCTGGAGGATCTGGAGGATCA